TTTTGAATCATGTGCTGAAAATTAATTCCATAGGCTAACTTTTCTTAATGCAGCAAGTAAGCAAACATGTTCACACATGTTTATTTTCATACGGCCTTTAGGAGTTGGTAGGAAATAACAGGTCCAAAATAAATAGAGTGGCGTGGACAAATTAGTAGGATTAGGCTATCTGAGATATAATGAAGTGAGAGAACATCTTCATTGGAAGCCTTTGGGTGTTGATGGGCTGATCTAAATAGGTGAGGCTGGCGGGAATCTTGTGGTTTTGCCAAATCTGTGCCAGTGCAGGAAGCTAGAACTTGGCTGATGGGAAGGAGAGCTGTTGAAAAGTGGGCTCAGGTTGTTGTCAGGAAACATTAGGTGAAGAGGTTTAGGGAATAGTAACTTGGAGTGGGAGTCTCTAAAAACAAAGATGTCTGACTCAAGTACCAAAGGAGCAAAAGGCAAGGGTGGGGGGTGGATAAGGGAGTAGGGTCACAACCTGGTTGGAACATGGTCTCCTGTAGGATGTCCTGGGAGGCTGGGCAGCAACCTGAAGTATCCACATGGGGAGGTACATATGGGAAGAGAGGTGTGTGGAAGGCATTGAAGAGAAATATTGCTACCATAATTTTACCTGGTTTGAAACATTCCGCCATTTAAACTTTTCTGCTGTTACTTTTTCCTGTTTACAGTGACTATTCAAAATTTACAAAAGCACCAATTTACATTTTATTGTATACTATAGTTTCTTTCTAATCTCCTTGCTCTGTCCCCATAAAGTGTCAAAACAACAGACAAAAGAGAACTAGTTTTTTCACAGACACATTCTGCTGGAGCATTTTTATAGATTGCGCTGAGTGCCAAGGTTCCTATGAGTGTGCAAACGTAAATTGGTTAAGTGACTGAAATCTTGTTTTTGCAATGGGGTACTCAAAGTGTCTAGGTGGATACCAAGTAATTTGCATTTAATTAAAAGTAAAAAGCATCCTGTGTGGAAAACTTGATTAAAATAAACATCTGAGACCACTAGAGCTAACCCAGTGGCAATTTATTTAAAAGCATATGAAAAATGTTATAGTTCTACATTTGGGTTCTAACAGTAAGTAATTTTCATTTCCACTCACTCACACATACACACACCATGCAGGTAAATGGAGATACAAGTCAAGAGAAAAGATAATTGCCTTAGCTGTGTACATAATTTGGAGAGCCTGAGTCAACCTGATAGTGTCTCCAGGTAGTCAAACACCTGGGGAAAAATAGCTCTTTGATACTTTTAGAACATCACTTTTGAGTAGTGTTTGGGTAGGTGAGCCAAAATGTTTTCTCATCAATCTGAAAGCTAATAATTATTGACTAATTAGTTCTAGCTGTTGGCCAAGTAAAACTCAACATCTACTCCCTTCAAGGTTTCAAAGAAAATGGAGAACAATGTTGCTTTTAAAGTAATTATCAACAGTTTCATAGGCTCAATCATAGAAGTATTTTGTTTAATATGGGACAACTCACTGAAAGAAGAGATAATTTTCATTGGAATAGTAAATAAGGAAATGGTATTAACATGTATTCTTGAAGATAAATTTCCATGTTGTCAAAAGATGGACAAAGCATAGTGGGAAAAATCTTATTTTCTATTAGTGACTTCAGATTTATTTTTCAAAATACAAACACATCTTTCTTGACTCAAGTAAGTCCCACCTTCTAAATGAAGTATTTAATTACCCCAGTCCAAAAATATTGCTCCTATTTAAGCATTTATTGACTCTACACATTCATATTCTTTATAATCATAATTCCCCCATTTTTTAAATAGTGATAAAATACGGATAACACAAAACTACCATCTTAACCATTTCTAAGTGTACAGTTCAGTGGTGTCAAGTACAGTCATATTATTGTGCAACAATCATCACCATCCATCTCCCTAACTTCTTATGCACCTTACGAAACTGAAATGCTGTACCCATAAAATAACTTTCCATTCCCCAATCATATTTACTTTTTATATGGTCTAAACAATTTCCTGTTAGTCTTATCACTCCAACTACCTTATAAGCAAGCCCCTTGTAGGGATCACTGTGCATGAGCTATACAACCTAAATATAAGGTCCTTACTGTCAGGCTTTGTTTTAAGCGCTTTGCAAATATTAACTCACACAATCACTCGTCTTTGTATGTTCTGCAGGGTCTAGCACGTGCTTTGCACGTGGGAGACAAAATATTTGTGGAATGGATTTCGGTACCACTTAGCCAGTGGCTCTGGCTATTATTCCGGTTGGAAAGTTACAAAAGGAGGTTACCCTGCGGAAACGCCTTTAGGGATAATCTGACACTAGGTCGCAAATTTACAGAAGTCCTTTATTTTAGTCACATGAAAGCCAGGTTCCTAGTAAGGGAAGCTAGGCGGGAGTTATTGCTAAACGACAGAGAACATAGGAAGTGACAACGCAGTTAAGGTCTTCCTTTTTGTGGGCACCCACGATCAACTCCTGGAAGACTCAGGAAAAGGGAAGACCCGGGGCTGGGTGTCCTGGGAGGGGTCCACCGGTTAGTGGGCGGGCCCGGCGGGGCGTGGCGTGGCCGGCCGGGGCGTGGCGTGGCGTGG